CGCAGGTTGTCGAAAAAGGGGTCAAACACGTTGTTAATTATTTTGATTATCTTTGTATGAGCTGTCTTTACTAAAAGGTGTGCAAATGAAATTGTCTTTTCCCATTGATAACTATACCGCGTCGCGAACAATCCTCGAGTACGTTGTTAGGCGTTCTAATGATTTGCTTCACCTGCTTGCCTATACTCCACGCGCGAAACAAAACTTTCTTTGTTTCATTATAACATTTCCACTCCATTGTTCTTGCTACTGCTTTCCTAGTTAAAAAAACAAAATTTTTTACATGCGAACAAGATCATTTCTATCCAATGTTAAAATTATCAAATGCTTACGTGAAAATGCAAACTGCAAACCATATACCAGGGAAGGTATAGGGAATGGAAGTAGTATTGTAAAATAAATGTGAAAATAGAAAATCGGGCCAAAACATAACTTCCCATTGGCAAGATCTGAAGCTCCGACTTTCAAATAACGCATCCGATGCTCTTCCGCTGAGCTGTGGTGGCGTTCGTCCCTCCATCTACTTTATGTTGCGTGTATGTATGTTTAACCACTGAGTGTTTAACAAATAAAACTACTCCTCAAGTTTACACTTTCCTTCATTCATAGCGATGGTCTCAATCTGGCAGACTTCGTGCTTTAGGTAGTATGCGAGTGATAATTTATCAGCTGATATGTCTCGTAATAAGATCACGTAGTACGTGATACCAAACAAGGAAAAAGACAGCGTTCTGCACTCATCATAATGGCAACAGGTGGCGCTGACTGACGCTTCCACGTTTAAATGCACATACACACTCTATGTTGCTTTTCGGTTGGTGTCAACATAGAATCCCGGCTGCGGCGGCTGCGTTTCTGATGGAGGCGGGAATGTTGTAGGCCCGTGTGCTCAGATTTGGGCGCACGTCAAAGAGCCCCAGGTGGTCTAAATTTTCGGAACATCCACTACGGCGTGTCTCATAATCATATGGTGGTTTGGGGACGTTAAACCCCACATATAAATCAATCAATAGCAGCAGCACGTGTTGTTTCCCAAAAAAACTTCTGGTTACTTCCAATTATCATTCTCTTGCGCTGAAGAAAAAAAACTTGTTTTTTTAGTTGTGTCAGAGTAAAGAGAAAAATCTTTGTTCCCTTCCTGGTAAAATAAAGGCACTTGATGTTAACGACTAACTTGTGTAATCTTCTGTGTAGCTTAAACAAAGTTTAGTTCAATTATTTGGCCAGAGAAATGTGAGAAAAGTGCTGAAAAAGAGTGGGCTACTCGCTAAAGCCTTTGTTACGCTGCGCTGGTGCACAAAGCCAGAAGCCGTCCAGCACGTCTGCTTCTGAACAGCGAAAGAACGGGAAGATGACCGAGGTATCTCAGAGATATATAGAGCAACGGAGGTGTTATTTGAAGGTGGCAGGTTCGGATGCGGCCGATGGCAAATGATCTTTTCATCCACTTTTCTTTTCTCACATTCAGTACATTATAATTACTTATACTTACATCCCCTACACTTTCCCTGGCATTATTATCTCTTAGTTATAATTATTATTGTGTCTAAGAAAAAAAAAACGAACCCTTACACTTTCTTATCGTAATATGTGTGGCTGGGATGTTAGGAATTCTCCTTCTCAATACTACAAGTGCTCTCTTATTTCGCACGTCTATTCGAGAATGCTTTAAATTTCGATTTCATGCAAAGACTGGTCGTTAAAGACTCACAATAGCTTCTCACAATAGCTTCCTTATTTTCTAAACATTTAATGCGTGGAGCTCTTCCATCCAGGCGCTTTTTTTTTTGTGGGACCATAATCGCAATCTCAGTAGTCTTTTCTACATATAGCGTCTGTTTCTTTAGGAATTTGCATATAAGTACGATTTAAATAGGAAACATTTGCTGTTTATTGTAACGTCTCTCGTAACGCACATGGTGATCGCTTCACATGACTTGCGTAATTAATTCAGCCTTATACATCCAGATAACTTATCACATAAGCTCGTGTAAATTCTCTTTATATGTATGCCCAACCCATAAATCTTTTTCTTGCAATAACGTTTACGCGATGTCTACGAGCATTACATTACCATTCATTTACATACGCAGAGCTTGACAGCTAGCTATTGTATAGTTTTCACTAATAAATGGTGCCACCGACAGTTCTAAACATTCGGTCCTCGTTTATAAGTCTTTGGCGCGTCATAAATCAGAAGCTTGCTGCGAATGCGCATGTGTCTACTTAGAATAGCGCGTTAGGAATGTGTTTGGCTACACATTTCATCTCTCAGTGCCAAAGAGTTTGTTCTTTTTAAATTCAAAGAAGAATTCGGACTGTGTTGAGAAAGTCAAGAAAGGAAAGTCTTCGAAAAAAATGTGCGCAGCTCGCACTATATTGGTGCAAGGCTGGAACCAACAGCGAAGCTATAGTGTTAGAGCTGAATTCTTTAAGTTTTCGTTAGTAATGCGAAGCTTTTGCGAGAGAAGCTAACTTCTTTCTACTTGTACCAACATTGGCTAGGCTTAACTAAATTTTCAGGTTTCGGTTGGTTCCCCATGCTACGCACTCGTCACGTGACTTTTTGCATGTTCTTACGTGTTTTAGTCACATGACTCGTTTCGTGTGTTACGTGATTTTAGTCGGGTTACTAAATGCTACGCAATCTTTGGTCACGTAACTAGTTACGCGATGTTGCGTGGTTTTAGTTCCATGACTACAGTTCCTGCGTGATGCCACGGTGTTTTTAGTCACGTTATCACCCATCATGGCTGTTGCACTTCGTCGTGCCGGGTAAATCGGTGTACGTTTTGGCGGGATTAAGCATAAGATGCTGAAAAGCACGAAGTGAATCCATGCTAGTGGAGGAGGATACTTTCTGTTTATACTGCCTGGTGCAACAAAAAAAAATGGCAGCATATCTACGGGGTGAATGGTGGAGAGTGGGCCGAAGCATCCATCCGTCCATTCGTTCTTGCTTCCGTTTGTCCAGCAGGACTGCGCCGTGCTCCCGACCGGGCTGCAGAAATTAGGTTTCTTTCTCCTGTTCTAACCACTACCACCACCACCGTCCATGCGTCCGTCTGTGTGACCGTCCATGCATCCATCCGCCTGGCCGTGTGTGCGTTTGTTCATGCGTCCGCACGTCCATCCATGCGTCCATTCCTGCCTTCGTCCATGCATCTCCCACTGCGTCCGTCCATACGTCCATCCATCCGTGCAGCCATCCGTGCGCCCGTCCGTGCATCTGTCTGTGTCCGTTCGTCCATCTAGTCAATACTCCAAGTACCATCATATGGCATTTTTCATTATCTATTCCGCTTATAGAAGCATCGCCCTCCAGCGGACATTCCAAGGACTAAACGAGAGGTGGCACACTTATTTTCTTATGGCTTGCGCTTCGTGTCTACTTCCCACCTTTAACCACCTCGAGTTCATGGTATATACTAGTTCACTGTATTCGTAGCTCTGCGGTCCAACGCTTGCTAAACCTTTCTAAATTCAAGGAGGTTACGCCCAGCGAGTATAACGTAGCAACCCTTTCTTGTCAGATATATAGTGCACAATGTACATGCCAATGGCTGCTAATGGGGAATGAGAGACAGGAAAATTCGGCTTTTAGTTAACGCGCACGCTGCGAATTTTTATTGTTTGACAACGCACAGGAGAAATCTCCCACCAGCACCACCTTGCAGGTCAAAACGTAGGACTGGTTACGACTACGACGAGGGACGAACGGGTGCCGCCTTAAGGAGCTTTGCCCCTAAAATACAAAGGGGTCCACTGTTTAGAGAACAAGCAATGTTTACTGTGGCGTCGCGCCAAGAATCCAGGCAGGTTCCGCAAACCTCGTTAGTTTGTGTGCTCCCACGTTTTTTATTTGTGTGTGTGTGTGTGTGTGTGTGTGTGTGTGTGTGTGTGTGTGTGTGTGTGTGTGTGTGTGTGTGTTTGTGTCAAAGAAGCTTTGAAACGTTGGTCCCACAACTAGAACCGTTTGTGCATACATGAAAATTTCTAAGAACAGTTCTTCGATGTGGTGCTTGTTCTGATATGAAAATAACATTACAGAATCGCCACCTACACCCTTGTTAGCTTCATCGCTAGGGTGTCGTACTGCTATGTTTGACGAAGCGCCCATCACTTCAAATAATATGGTGTACTTATATTTTGTTTAATGATAAACAGACCAATTTTTTTACACCAAAGTGTCCCCCATGGCCATACTATCTAAATATATATTAATTTTGGCGCGTAAAGTCCAATGTTCCTTTTTAATTGCGAAAGCAGCTTTTCGTGGGGCTGGCGAATTTTCCTTAGTGTAGTTCACCAAGTATCAAAATGCGCTATACCAAATCACCCCTAAATTTGATATGTGGGGTTTAACGTCCCAAAACTACCATATGATTATGAGAGACGCCGTAGTCGAGGGCTCCGGAAATTTCGACCACCTGGGGTTCTTTAACGTGCACCCAAATCTAAGCACACCGGCCTGCAACATTTCCGCTTCCATCGGAAATGCAGCCGCCGCAGCCGGGATTCGAACCCGCGACCTTCGGGTCATTAGCTGAGTACCTTAGCCACTAGACCACCGCGGCGGGGCACCCCCCTAAATTTCATTCCTTCTGCATTGTTTTTAGTGTTCCACGGTAAAACATTGATTTATTTTTTATAGCAATGTATTTTTTTCGTTACGGGTTCCTCTTTTCTTTTTGAATCTGAAGGAGCATTTGATAAGCTATATATAAAGAGTGCAGTATTTTTCGCAAGATTTGTTATGCTTTGTTTGTTTTTTTTTATCACAGGTATGATATACTGGCAGAGTATCGAGGATGGCGGGCATGCGCTGGAAAATTGAAATCACAGACGTCACAACGAAAACAGGTGCGCCAGATTTTTTCAAGTTTTGTGACAAACGCTGAAGCAGTCGACAAGCCTCGTCCCGCTCGGGAACGGAATCCAAATAGAGCGGGGTCGCAGATAGCGGGGGCCTGGACCCGGCATGCGCGTTCTCCCTAGGAATGACTGAGGCGGACGTTTTCAACGCCACGTTCGATGACCTCCCTTACGGCAGCGACGCCCTGCGAAATCTTACAGCGTTCTTCGGGAACGCCACCGGAAACCCGGCCTCGGACGAACTTCTAGGTCCGCGCTATCATAAGCGAGTCCGCATTAGTATCATCGTCACCATGATCGTCGTCTCCATAGTCGGCAATAGTATCGTTTGCTGCAACCTACTCGTCAAGCATCGCCGCCGTCGAGTGTCCAAGGCCCGGGTGCTTTTCCTGAACCTCGCCATCGCCGACCTTCTGGTGGCCTGCGTCACCATGACGTCGCAGGTGGTCTGGGAAGTGATGGGACGGCTGTGGATAGCTGGCGACGCGTTCTGTCGCTTCTTCAAGTTCCTCCAGACTTTCGCGCTCGTATCGTCCACCTACATGCTGGTGGCCATCGCCGTAGATCGGCATATCGCCATCGCCACCCCGCTGGCGCCCAGTCCCGACCCGTGGAAGTTGGCCGCCGTCACGTGGGTGGCCTCGTGCATGCCGTCACTGCCAAACGTGTACGTGTTCCACAGCGTCGAAGTGGCGCCGGGAAAGTGCTTTTGCGCGTCCATATTCTACGATCGCGGAACGCCGCTCTACCACCGCCAGATCTACATGGGATTTGTGTTCTTCATGGTGTTTGTGGTGCCGCTCGTCCTGCTCATAGCGTTCCACACTGGAATACTGTGGACTCTTTGGAAGCACACCGCGACAGGTCGGAAGGTGGGCCAGCAGACTACGTCATCGCTTCCGCGGGCAAAGGTATGGCTCCTGAAAGGGTCGTTCGTGCTTACCAAGCGGTGCTTACATTTCGATAGAGGTCAAACTATTTTCTGACTCCACGTGTCATGGAATTGTTCTATTTAATACCTCATTTCTTTGAGAATTGCAGGGTGATGTATGTATACGTTTGCGCAGTATTTTAACGAGATTAATGTCCAATGATTGATATCTTTCGGAAGATTGCGCTTTGATTCACGCATATTTGTGTCTGCAGTTATCTGTGCGCGCAGCCAAATATACGCCCGCGTACTTAAGATTGTATGTGCGCGCGCATGCTGAATACTATTCGATTTGATTCATTTCTAGCCTTCAGGACGAGACCACACGCAAATGCGAGGGCCACACTACGACAGTTTCTGCAACCACCATCTTTCTTTTCCTTTTCTCTCACAGATGAAAACATTGAAGATGACAGCCGTGGTATTCGGTGCCTTCCTGGTGACCAACGTACCATACATGGTGCAAGAGGTCATTCTCGCTTTCGGGAATCCCGGAATCTTGGATGCCAACGTAGTGGCCCTGTTTGGCGTCATATCTGCGTCAAACAGCGCCATCAACCCGTACATCTTTCTGTACTTCCAGCGGCCGCGCAGAGACGCCAGCAGCGGTAGTTTCTGGCGAAGAGTCTCCCGATTGGTGAGCGAGTCCCTCACGTGTCACCTGCTCAACAGGGCCCAAACGGAGGCGCAGTTGTCCACAGACCAGGCCGAAGCCTACTCAGCAGCGCGCTTGAACAAGGCTTGCAGCACAGCGACGAACTGCGATGGCAAACTGTCACCCAGAGACGGCGAGAGGGACATGTGCTGATTGTGTCCGAGTCGTACAAATTGACTGTGATCGTGAGTGAATCGTGCGTCGTGTGCGGCTTCGTCGTCAACCCTGTCGCTACATCACGGGATGATCGACGCAACGTCTGTTTGCGGTGAAGCGAGGCGCAGCTTTGTCGTAAATTTATTGACGAAAACAGTGGCATTTATGTCAGTGTGCGGCGCACGCATTGCATCGTTTTGCAATCTGTACATGGGACGACACGAGGAATATGTATGGCGTCATCATAAACTCTCGTGACAGAATGCGACAAAAGCAATTGTCCGGTTACCGAACCACACCGCATGCAGTTTTAGGGGTATGTTCTTGAGAGAACATGAGAGCTCAAATTAACAAACTAAAGCTTAGCATTTGTGCTCGGAATCGGTGTTTTGTTCAGTTGTGATGATCTGAAAGGGGAGATGAATATTGCATGCTTTTAATACCTGGCGAACTTTTATTAATAGATCATTAATGTACAAAAGGCAAGTGTGCACTCAATACGGTACAAGTGTGCAATACACCCGGGAGTGTCCCTAGCATAGCTTGGGGTGCTCGTTGTCCCAAGCCATGTTCTCAACATCGTTTTCAACGTCAGCTTCAGGGGGACCAGATACACTATCACAAGATTATTTCTTAAGCATTTCTCGATCGCAGTAATTAGCAAAGAGTGATGGTCAGTGTGGATTACTTCTGCTGCACAATGATTAAGCCTGCATCGTGTGCATCCGATACAAGGTATATGTATAGTGTGACGAGAAAACCAGAGCTGAAAATACGAAATTACGCTTGTCCCTATTTGGGGGGGAAGTCCTACCTAATAATGGCTTCAGCTCCACATTTTTTTATTATTGCTAAGCATACCAATCTTCTTGCACAGGATGGCAGTGGCGCGGTGAGTGAAGAAACGGTATGTTAACCTAACATTTTTACTGCACGCATGCGTCCTGAGTGTAACAGTGGTTGTAATGTAGAGGAAGAACATCGCTAATACAGTCACACTATAGAACCCAATATTATCAATTTCAGCCAAAGATGCACTGGTGGCATTTGGGGATCAAGTGAACTAATAAAACAGAAAACTGAGAGAGGAAAAGAGATGGGGGGAGAAAGGGAGAGAGAGAGAGCTGCCTGACGGCCTAACCACACTGCTGAAGTCTAATTAATGATTAGCTGATTAGCTAATTAATGATTGTCTCGACGAGGAACACAAGTTAGTGAAGCCATGTGTAGAGTTCTGCTTAAAAATGGTATTTTCATTGCAGTCACTTGTTTGTCATGCTAAAATCTGCTAACATGCTCAGATCATGAAAGATCATTAATAAAAAAAAGTTTCTTTTTTGGCGTGTTTCATGAGTCCAGCACTGTATGCTAGTTACTACAGCGAGCGTAAATGTTGGTATGTTGGTATGAAGTTGTATATGGTTATAAATACATTGTCGATGAATTCTCAACAAGCTATAGGTTGTCAAGTGATGAAACGGTGAACTTACGGAGGTGTAGTTGCCGAGGAAATAAAAACCTGGAACGCTCCAAAGCAAGTTAGTTAAAACAGAACACACAATATACAAAATTAATCATCCCGAAAAAAATTGATATGGTAGCTTAACGAAAAAAGCGAAGTGGTATAACTGACAACAATTTCAATCATTGGCACTGCACTTGAACTTTTCGACCAGTGTTTAAAAGACGTATCTTTGCGACAGTACATGACACAACCAAACTTCTCAAGTGTTGAGGCACGCTCACGACATCGGGAAAGGCATTGAACCTCAAAGTTGCACAATATAAAACTTACGAATATACCCGGACTTGAAAAAGACATCTTGAACGAATACTAGCATCGCAAAAAGGACGACAAGAAGAAGAAAGACAAACTGCAGCGCTAGGGTCTCTCTTTCCTCTTCACGTCCTCGTTTCTGTTACGCTAGTGTTCGTTCGAGATGGAATCACACCAACTCAACCAAGTGACCATTTTGATTAAAAAGACACCCTTGTAATGCACTTCGCGACCTGGCTGCATTGGCGTGCAAAACGCGCGGAACCCTGTGAAGTGCCATCGCCCTCTAAAATATTTTTTCTAGGCGGTGTTGTCAGTACCCACTCATCACGAGCGCTTGCGAACTAACCGCGTGAGTTCTGTTTGTGTAGTTCCAAGCTAGCTGTTCATGCATCATTTTATTACTCTTCTTCTTTCTTCTGTGCCCTTTCTTTTCCATTATTCCCCTTTCGTACACTCCAAGTGTCGGATAGCCAGCCGAGTGAAAGTTGGGTTAACCTCTCTGCCTCCTTGCCAAACAAAAAAAAAGAGAACTTACAGCCTATCTGCTGAAATTCTACAGTAGTAACCCGGCTTTAAGAGTGTATGAGAACCAGTGACAAACTTTCTGCCACCCCCTGTCACCTCCAAGTACACAATTGCTACACCCGTTCTGCAGGAAGTCTACAGAGCATTCGTAGTCACGAAGGATGCAGCACGCCAGCAGAATATCTGTGGCTAATCTGCAGAAGTTCTACAGAAATTACGCAATATTTCTGCAGAATACCCGCAGCGTTTTGTCGTAGATGAACAAAAAGTAACAGCTGCTATTTGCGCTAGCATGAATATTCAACGAACATGCAGCATCAAAGTGTAGAATACCCCCCATACATCCACGGAACACATGCCCACCACAAACACGAAACAACAGCAAAGTAAATACCAAACACACAGATTACTCACACTTTACAACCTAACACTGACCACCCTGTATATATACTCATGTTATCTTGACCGGCCATTGAGTACCGCATGAAAAGTTCATATGCTTCAAATTTTTAAATTTACACGTACACAGGATACGTGTGAAACTATGTCTGCCGTGAGGTAGCCATCAAATACAGAAATATTACAGCAAAATCTGTTGTGAGATCACAACTCGGGTGACGCGCAGTGGTCCGCCGCCGCCTGTGTCCGTAACCACATCGGGCGAAATTAGAAAAAAAATTAGAAAGAAGACACAGTGGGGCTCGAAACCGGGTCCGCTGGGTATCAGCCCAGTAATCTACCACTGAATTACGCTGGTGCTTCTGACTTGCTGGCAAACTTGCCTTAGGCAGGATTGATGTCGGGAAAGCAATCGCGTTAATACGACTTATAAAGCATTTTAAAACAGTGAAAGAACAACCAGTCGTCTCACAATGCGAATAGCGTAACGAGTGGGCCGTTGAATGCTCTAACCCTTTACAAAAGCTTGCTCTTGTTCCCCTATTAACCGTGGCGCATACTCACTTCAGCCATAATTCCTCATCGTCATCAGCCACTGCACGAACAATTGGCACAAAATTCCTTGCAAGTGTTTAGCGGATACCACGCTTCTTTGATCTGATCTCCAAGGTGGTGCCGCTGAGAGATTTCTCTTGTGCGTTGTTGAACAATAAAAAGTAGTTCTCAATGTACATGCCAATGGCTGCTAATGGGGAATGAGAGACAGGAGCATTCGGCCTTTAGGTATCGCGCACGCTGCGATCCCCATTAGCAGCTATTTGCATGTACATTGAGCACGATCTGACAAGAAAGGGTTGCTACGTTATACTCGCTGGGTGTAACCTCCTTGGTTTTAGAAAGGTTTAGCGAGCGTTGGGCCGCATAGCCATGAATACAGTGAACTAGTATATACCATGAACTCGAGGTGGTTAAAGGTGGGAAGTAAACCCGAAGCGCAAGCCGTAAGAAAGTGTGCGTGTGCCACCTCCCGTTTAGTCCTTGAAATGTCCGCTGGATGGCGGTGCTTCTATATGGAGAATATATGATGAAAAGATGCGAGATGGTGGTACTTGGAGTGCTGAATAGATGGACGAACGGACACACAGACAGATGCATGGATGGACGCATGAACGGACGCAGGCGCGGATGCATGGACGAATGCAGGGACGGACGCACGAACAGACGCACGCACGGACGGGTGGATGAACGCATGGACGGTTTTTATTTATTTGTGGAATACTGCAGGCCAAAAAGTCCCAAGCAGGAGGGGCACAAACACAACCACAAGATCAGTACATGAGTGACACAGCTTCACTAAAATACATCTGTGTACGAGGAGAGCGAGTAGAAGAGAAACATCAAAACAAAGAAAGCACGCGATCAGTACATGAGTAACACAGCTTGACTAAAATACATCTGTGTAAGAGAAGAGCGAGTAGAAGAGAAACATCAAAACAAAAAAATCAAGCGATATTGGGAGGGGGGGGGGGTCAAGATTCACAGAATTAAACATTGGGTTCATCAAGATCGAACGTTTGGAGGAAATCAGAAGGCAAGTTATTCCATTCTGTTACAGTTCTCGGAAAAAAGGAAAACTTAAATAAATCTGTCCGCGCAAAATACGGAGTTAAAGACCGGACATGAGAATGACGAGTTTGCCTGGTCGAAACTGAGGTAACGTAATGTGATGGGTCTAGCCCAAGTTTATTGTTAATTAGTGAGTCCAAGAATTTTAGACGGAGAAGCTGGCGCCGCGATTGTAGCGTCTGGAATTCGTTATCTCGCATTAGTTCAGTAACTGATGTACCACGACCATACTTCGAGTAAATAAAACGCACTGCTCGTCTTTGAATCTTTTCGAGGGAATATATGTTAGACTTAGTATGCGGATCCCATACAATACAAGCGTATTCAAGCTTTGGACGTATTAAAGTGTTATAAGCTAATAGTTTCACTTGCGACGGGGCGTCTCTGAGTTTGTGCCTTAAAGACACAGTTTACGGAAAGCGGATGGACGAAACATCGGCAATGTGTGCATTCAGGACAACTTATTCGTTATCGTTATACCTAGGTATTTGTATTGACTGACTTCTTTTAAGGGTTGGCTTTTGGAGGAATAGGAAAACTGAAGGGGATTTTTCTTGTTAGAAATTCGAAGGCAAACAGATTTATCGAAATTGAGCACCATGCCCCATTTGTTACACCACGAAAGAATATTGTTAAGGGCAGTGTCGAGAGCGACCTGGTCATCTGG